TAAAAAATAACTTTGTTTTCTTTTTTTTCCTTCAGGCTTATCATGTAATTTCAGACATATTATATGATCTTTGATATTTCCTCGAGACAATTGAAAAATAAAATTGTGATCTGTTATCAAAGTATTGTTTATTGTCTCTGTCAGATACCTAACCTGTTTGATTGTAATTTCGATATTTCAGATATCTCTCGTCAATTGTTTTTGATGAAATAATCTTGTGCATTGTAATCTTGTGATTATTGTTTTATTGCATATTTTTTATGTAACAAATAGACATTCACAATGTTTTCAAATCATAAGAAAAAATTTCTTTCATATCTTTAATATTTTTCACATCAAAATTAATCTATTTAAAATATTTGATTTTAATCTATAGATGAAAATTACTCATCAATTATCAGTTATATAAAAAAAGATTCGGACAAAAATCGAATACTTTTGAACGGAATGTAATTAATTCTTTTTTAGATAAACGCATAGACGTCGCATGAAAGTGATTTAATAATTTTTAAAATATTATTTGACTACAACTTTTTATTTTTTACAAATATTTAAAGATATGATAAACTTATAAATTAGATTTCAATTTTTAAGCATACTATAAACATCGATATTTTAAACAATTTTTTTCTCTCGTAAAAATGTCAGACTCTTTTAATTTGCAAAATATTTACAAAAAATTGTTGCATCGAATTTCTCTTATGCATATACATTCGTGACAATGTGTACGTCAATATGTGACAGATGTTTATCCATTGCTTTATATAAATACATTGTAACTGCTGATGTTTAAAATGTATAATGTATAATCGGTGAACCGATTAAAAAATTACTTTTTTTAAACTCGAAATCTTCTCAACCCTAACTAATCTAGAGTATTTGAGCTATTTCATCAGTAAGATATATAATACAATAATATAATGTGAAACAAATCTTGGGCGAAACTGAAATCGAAATGATTAAAAATACGATAGATACGATAAATATTAAATATAATGCTCGTATCGTTGTAAACTCAGTAATTTTAATTTTAGATTACAATTAAAAATTATTTCACATTTTTTTTTCGCGAATTCAAAGAATTCGTGAAGTTTTCTTTGGATAGATATTAAATATGGTAATATTAGCTCACCCGTTATATATTTTGAATACCTGTTGCCGCGATGTGTTTATATAAACAATTGATAACTGGAAATCATTACGATACATATATATATAGGCAGAATTCACTGTAGCGATAATGATAGTTATTTGCAGATAAAAATTGCATAATTACTTGTTATGAATAAGAAATGTTGGTTTATTAATTATACGCCAATTTATTTACATTTTGATGTCTGTCTAAAAAGATTCATTGCTTTCAATTAATAACTGGAATGTAATAGCATCTTCGTTGCTATTATTACTATGTGTTGATGCATGATTCTCATTCATTCATTCATTGATAGCATGATCTTCATTCCTATCAAAGCTTTATTTTATCGAGAAAATTTCTTCATCAGAATTTATCTATTAAAGATATTGAATAAATATATTTTTATTTAAATTTAATAATTATTTGAATAATATCTTTATTTATATATATAATTGCTGCAATGATATATTATTAAAGCTATCTTTTCAAATATTTTCGTACACATTCTTTTGCACTTTATTATATTTTTTATCGCATTTATTATAAAAAATATATTACAATTCTAATTAAAATATATTTAATTCTAATTAAAATAAATTAAAATATTTTTTTCGGTTCATTAATTGTAACACATAATTGCAGTTTTTAAATTGAATCGCAGAAACATTTTTTCTATCAATTATTTATCCTATCTATATTTGAATTCTTTCGTTTTTTGAAAGATTTAAATTTTACTTGAATCTAAGTTTTCAAATAATTCATTCGATGATATTAAAACATTTGTATAAATAGATGCGTCGTGTTCTTATATAATTATGAAAAAATATATAAAAACGATGATAAAAAATTATCCGTCAGTATAATCGGTATTTCGAGTTGCCGGAAAGATTGTATGAATTATGTCAGTATAACTGACATTCCAGTTGAAAAGATTACACTATATCAGTAGAGTTGGAATTCCAAGTATCACAAAGAATTAAAGTAATTACGTTGAAAAAGTATATTAATTAAGGAAATATTAATTTGAATTTTATAAAATTTGATAATATAAAAAGACAAAGGCAAATTTGAAATATCTTTTAAATAGCTTAATATTTTTTTTTATATGAGAAATAACGAGTTGTATCAATTAATGCATTAAAAATTGTTTCATTTCATTTAAAAAAAATTATCGATGAAACATAAATCATAACATATACGCGTCTAAAAAAAAGTTATTATATCAATTAATCATATTTTCTTCGAAACCATTTTTATCTAAACTATTTTCTTTACAAAGAATAATTATAGAGATGAATAATTTATAGATTAAAATCGGATATTTTATGTATTACGATGTATTACAATAGCAGTACAGCTGGTATTCCGAGTGGCAAAAACTTAACGAATTTAAACGTTTTGAAGAGGCGTGACTTAATTTCAGATAACGAGTGCGGTGTAATTTGGCGCCAAGTAGATATCGTTTCACGTGATAAAGCACGTTTTCGTTGTAAAGATAAACCCTTGATTCGAAGATACGTACATTTCTCTCGATGTATGCGATTTCGAGTACGAATAACACGAGTATTGTATCTACATACATGTACGATCTTAGAATTTCAAGCGAGACAATGATCCATCGCACCTATCGATTCCAATTTATTCGCTCTTATTGGCAAACGCTTTACTCGGGTGTGCTTAGTTCAAGGTTATACGCTTGGGCACGAATATGTATGTATGTGTGTATGTATGTATGTCCTCTTAACGAACTAGGAAGCACACATTGCGATGGTATTTTCACGACTGGAATCGATGGTTTCTCGACATATACCGTTACATGAGCCATCTTTCGCCACGAACAAAGTTTTTGCTAAAAAAACAAAAAAAAAACCGCGAGATCGTAAAGCCTGACTCGGTCGATAAGATCCCCTTATTTATGGTTAAGAGGAGAAAGGAAAGAAAGAACGTGACCTACCATTGAATCGATATCGTTTGGTCTAATAACCTTTGTTTAGTTTCACGATACAAGATTCGATCTTATTGCAGACAACTAATTTATCGAGGCGACGTATTAACGATGTAAGAGAAAACTAGGTAATACACTCGACAAAAAAATTAACAAAAAACAAGTATTTTTCAATAATTTGTTGTTTCTCTTTTGAATATTAATTATTCAATTTTTATGTAAATATCTTTTGCTCGTGTAAAAAATGTAATAGAAAATAATAATTTTTAACATATATAATAATTTCGAACTTCAAATTAAGTTCTCCCATATAAAATAATATAAATTGGATTAATTCCAAATGGATTCAAAATTTACTTAATATAAAATATTTTAAGTGCATATTTCGAAAGATCATATTGGTATATATAATAAATAATAAAAAAAAATAAATTTAATAATTAAATATTTTTATTTATAATAGTATATACGTAATAAAAATATTTTATAATATCAATTAATTAAAATAATTTTTGTGCTAATTGTGATTCATTATTATCATTATTTATTTCTTTGCGAAAATTATCTTTATTTTGATATAATATATTCTAAAATATTCTATACGTTGTCATTAAATTCATTAATATTATATCACGATAAGTAGTTTTGTTTTTGAATTTAAAAAAATTTAAAAGCTACATTTTTCTTGATTAAATTTTGAATTGTTTAAACATCATATATTTTCATATATTAGCTTTCTGTTTGAAGAAAATAAATTTTAATCTTCATAAATTCCCTTCTTATCGATTGAAAATACAGATTGAAAATACTTTTAAAGCAGTATATCTCGATAAAAGAAATTCCATGATAAATCAAAATTGATTTCAAGATTTATTTTTTTAAAAAACGATAATATATATTGTACAGTTAACAAAAATATCGGAAAAAAAATTATTATCTTTAGAAATTCTCGTTATATAATATTTTATAATATATAAATTCTTATTATTAAAAATCGATATAGATAAATTTTTATAATCAGATTATAATTCAACATACGAAAAATGCATAAAAAATCTTTTCATTCTTAACTTCATTATTTTATTATATCTAATTTACTATTTCATTATATTTTTTTTTTTTTATAAGAAGATTAAATTCGTATAAAAAAATTTAAACTACGGTTGATATTTTTCTATATTATTAATCCCTTCAGCGTTACAGTTTCATCACTGAATATTCATTCCACAGTGATACGAATTTTTTGTATTATCATATTCAAACATTATTATATTATACATTCCTATTTTGAAATAACTCATGATGTACAAATGCAACATGCTTAAGGAATTAAGAAAGATATATATATATATATAAAATAAAATATGCAATTATTTCATCGTGTATTTACAGTAATATCTACTTTACTATTCGTCACTATCCCCACAAATTCTTGAAACTCCATTTTCAAATATGCCGAATAAGATAAATTGCTGAACGGATACCGAATCTTTATCTAGCACACTCTCGTTTCCTTTTTACTCGAATTGAATTCCGAATTCGCTCCCATTTGCAAACTAACTAAAAATTTGATACCGTATTACTGTTTTATTACCCCTTGTAAATCTTAATCTTAGAAAAACATTCGAACCCTATACACGTATCGCCGTATTTACGTACGAATAAAAGCAACGAGACGTTTTCATTAACAGATGTACACCAAGTTTTCTCTTAACGCGGGATTAAATGCAATTTTGAAATTGTAACAGTGACGCGATAACGGGACCGAGATCGAAAAGTCGAGGGAAAGCGGAACAAATCCCGCGATACCGATTAAGTTTCTAAGCGAATCGTCGTCCATTTTTGCCACCTGTTTAACCAGAACGGCACCGGCAATATCAAAAAGTTTTCCTCGAAACTTTACCGTACCTATTTTACCAGATCATGCTCCAACTTTGTTAGGCAATAACAACGGTGGATATTAAAGAGGGAGAGAGAAGAGGAAGAGGTAATAACTGGCGGAGAGAAAGAGCAGAAAAAGGGCAGAAGAAGTGCAAGAATACGTACTACGAAGGAAGAATTATCGACTATCAAGTTTTTTAATTAACGTCCCTGAGTACGAGCGCGACCGAAGACACGCAGCTTGCAAATTAACCGCAAAGTTCCATCGATAGCCCGATAGACGTCGGCATATTCGTGGGCACGTTTCGCGGAGCGACGAATTCGTTTTAGAAAAACTTTGCCTGGGATCATTTAATTAAACGAGCGGCGAGTAAATTCGAGATAACCTTCGAAGCCGGGGTTCCCACGATAACCAAGTTTCAACCGGCGAAACGATAGATTCGAGAGAAGTTTGAAGGAAGCACTGGATTGGAAAAGCGATTATCGAGCGACCAGCCTATTAATTACCGGAATCGGAGGGGAAATTTTCACGAGAGTCTAAGGGGGCAGTCGAAAGGAAACGGGCGAGGAACACGTTTATCGAGATGGATGAACGTCCCGTCCCGACGATTCGACGACAGTGTTAGAAAATGCGTTCGCACAAAATGTGTTCGTTTTAAGGAAAAATTGTCTCGCATTGTTCTCCGGGCAGAAGAAAAATATCGAGGGGAAATCCTCCTCTTTGAGGATCGCACGTGCTGTGAACGTGGTGTGAGAAAGAAGCTCTATATATATATATATATATATAAGTGGGTGTTGGTAGCGGTATATTTCAAAAATCGAGGAAGAGAGGGAAACACGTTGAACCAAGTTATTAGCGAACGACGTCGTGTTTCTAGTGCCGGTGTGGAAGAGTGTGTTAATCAACAGCAGCATCGTCGGTGGGGTATAATGGCGGTTCGCTGAGAGAAGAAACGTACGAAGGGAAGGTCACGACGTTCGTTCACGAGACGGCCTGGTATGACGTGACGAGAGGAAACCGCTTTGGTGCACTTCCATCGCGAGTATTCCAGAAAAGAAATCTACCATGAGAGCGTCTCGAGTAGCTGCCCTGTTGATCCTCTGTTACGCCATCGGTGAGTCGAGTTTCTTAGTACTTATGCGTCTCGCCCCGATTACGCTTTTCTCGATCATTTCCGCACCGAGATAAATCC